GTTGTCCATGCTCACCAGGCATGTCTCTTTACCACTGAACAGTCTCAAAATGCATGACCTGTGGTTTTTTAGGGTGACACAAAACTGAAAATGCATTCTAGCAGTGCACATAACATAGGTCAACTGCAAACAGGCATTCCAGCCATGGGGCAAGGCCACTGTCAGTCCAAATTTTGAAAATTCCTAGAATGGTTGCAGATATCAGGCCCTCAACCAGCTAATGCTTCACTGTCCCAGTGCTGCTGGTTGATGATACTCACTAATATAGACAGAGCTTCTGTGCTCAGAGATAATCAAACGTGATATGAATTCAAATATTTTCCTCAGAGCTTGCAGGAAGCAAGTTAAAAAGGTCTGACTATTACTGACTGTTACAATCACCACTTTTTCACTTCAGAATAAGAGTGGAGTAGAATTTAGTAGGGTTTATTACTTACCAGCCTGTCCTCAGATTACAACAGTGGAAACTGCAATCAGGGAATATTAACAACTCAACCTGAAACAGTGTAAAATCTTTTATATTCCTTACCAAGACATAAAGATCAGTTACTTACTATCACTCCTGGCTTTTGACACTGGCATAAAAGCAGCAGACTGCAAAGCYATAAGGAACCACCTCTAACAATAAAGCCATTTAAGAGCTGGAAGCAGGCATTGTCGAAGCACTGTTTTAAGAACTAATAAACCACAAAGATTAAATAAAAATCTAGAATCACCAAATCTGGTGCATCACCTCAATGCCTGGAATAAATCWTAATAGCAACTTGCTTCTAGGGCAAACATAGGCTGTCTCAGAAGGCGTGAGGACAAAGCATCCTGAACTATGGCTTCAGTTTCCTTCCATAACATAAACTGCTGAGCAACCACGCTGCTAACACAGATTAATTACAGCAATTACAACTCATCAAGGAAACATCGCTCCACTTTGCTCTTATCATTTAATCTCTGACTTTGGGAGTGATGAYGGGATAATTTAAACAGGCCCAAAGCTTAGGGTAATACCTATTTTTATCAATCACTCGCTGTCCCGTCAATAATTCACGCTCACAGGAAACACGCACCCTCCATTAGGAGCCACAGCACTTTGGCAGCGATCCCCAGTGAGGCCGCTCTGCTGGGCTGTGGCTG